TGACGCTCCTTCCAGCATTTCTGGTTTAATGCTAATGTAGCCTGACAGCAATACAGGCAATGGTCAAGAATGCTATGGGACCTGAATGTATAACATTCCTCAGGAAGTCTAGGACTGCAGCTAAAAGTGATTATGTGCAGCAAATCACCAACAGTGATATAAACCAGCCCCCTAAGTTCTGCTATATTAGCTAATCATTGGGGAAGGGATGAAAGAAGAATGCCAAGAATATATGCCATATATATATATGTGTGTGTGTGTGTGTGTGTGTGTGTGTGTGTGTGTGTGTGTGTATGTATGTATGTATGTATGTATGTATGTATGTATCACACCCCCACTAGCAGTTAAAAGGAAGAAACAGCTGCGATCTCACATTGCTCCTAGAAGCATGAAGCCGAAAACACCAGCCTGAAGATGACGAATGAGACTTCGTCGAAACGTCGCCAAGACACTTCCAATTTTACGTGGGAGAAAACCCGAATAACCAAAGACCTACATACAAATACCCGCGAAAACCTCAGAAAACATATATATATGTATGTATGTATGTATGTATGTATGTATATGTATATATATATACACACACACACACCCAACAACAACGTTATCTGAGAGCATTAAGGTCTTTCCAGCTGCCCAACTAAAGAAGCAGGCAGCCCTGTTAGATGGCAGCAATATAGGAAGATGCCAGAAGCAGGTGATCCCTTTAGTGTCAATAGCAAGGTTCATTTCATACTGTATAAGAAAAGACACTCTTTTAATTGATCAAGAAATCTTATATGTACAGACAATATAACATAGAAGTCTGGTGGTGCAGGCTAAACTCTGCTCCCAGCCCAGAGTTCGATCCTGATGGGCACACTATAAAAAAAGACGGTGAGACTCTAGAAAGAGTGCAGAGAGAGCAATCAAGATGATTAGGGGACTGGAGGCTAAAACATATGATGAATGGTTACAGGAACTGGGCATGGCTAGTCTAGTAAAGAGAAGGACCAGGGGAGACATGATAGCAGTGTTTCAATATTTGAGGGGTCAAGCTATTTTCCAAAGCACCTGAAGGCCAGACAAGGAATAATGGATAGAGATGCAACCCGGAAATAAGGAGAAATTGAGAGAGCAATCAACCAATGGAACAGCTTCCCCTTCAAAAGTTGTGGGAGCTTCATCACTGGAAGCTTTCAAGAAGAGACTGGAGTGCCATCTGTTAGAAATGGTGTAGGCTCTCCTGCTTGGGCGGGAGGTTGGACTAGATAACCTACAAGCCCCCTTCCAACTCTGTTAATCTGTTAATCAAGGTTTACTCAGCTTTCCATCCTTCCGAGGTTGGTAAAAATGAGGACCCAGATTGTTGGGATCAATATGCTGATATTGTAAACTTCTCAGAGAGTGCTGTAGAACACCTTCGGCCAGTATATAAGTCTGAGTGCTATTGCTATATAAAGTGACTGCCAATACAGTATTGGATGATGGACCCCTCAGGTGAGACAGCATTCAATAAGATACTGAGGGGGAAAAAAACCTGAGATCTTTCAAAATGCCAACAGTATTTATGATGCAGCCAGATTAAAACCTTTGGGACTTCTAGGTGCTGATGTTGCCATACAGGAAAATAAATCTGAAGCTGTAAAGATAGAATTACAGTGGAAACATAGAATGTAAGAAGCATGAACACGAGAAAACTCAATATAGTGAAAAATGAAGTCATTCTTCTACATATTAGGTAGCAATGAATTGAAATGGACTAGAATTGGGCAGTTTCTGTCAAAAGATTATACTCGGGACACAAAAAGAAGATGTGCCATTGCTTTCAAAGGCAGGAGAGATACAGCAAAGACAGTACAATGGATACAATGCAATCAATGAACAAACACTCTCAGTGGGGCTTTGCAGACAACTTAAGTTATCAAAGTTTATATCACAACCACTGTAAAAATGCTTAATTTTCTAGTCAAGTGCAATCTGAAATTCTCAGAACATGAAAGAATGATGTGCTGCTTGTGAATGTAGCTTGCCACAGCAAAGTTGGGAACAGTAAGGAGGAAAAGTCCATTATCATGTTTGGTCGTGATTGGGGTTGCACTGTCCCAGACAGACTTGGTGTGTAATCTGGGGCTTCTCTTGGATTCATGACTCCCGGACTCATAACCCCTGACTTCATATTGTGCACCAGATACACCCATTCCTGGACCCACAGTCACCCATGCCCTGGTCATCTCTGTTTGGACTGTTGCAATGCACTCTACTTGGGGCTGCCCTTGAAGAGTATGTGGAAGATTCAGCTGGCTCAAAACACAGTGGTCTGCATAGTTTTAAACAAGTCCAAATTTGCACATGTGTCAAGTCAATTTGCTTCTGTGTAAAATTCAAGCTGCTGATTATCACCTTTAGAGCCCTACATATCTTGGGGCCAGGTTATTTGAAGGACCGTCTCTTCCCAGTTACAGGAACTGGAGGGGCAGGTTGGGGACAGATCTTTCTGGAGAAGGCCTATTGATCTGACTGTTAAAATATGACACTTGATAACACACAATCAGTTCTAAATCATGTATGCAAAAAGTGCTGACAATTAGCCACACAAGCTCCTTCATGCCATCAAAGTAGGCAGGGGTTGAAAAGATGGACTTTCCCGTAAGTTTTAAAAGAATTTTAAGAGGCCAAATCAGTATTTGGGACACATTTAACCTGTTAAAAACCCAAGGCCTTTCCCAGAAATTTGCACTCATTTTGAGTCCAGACTCTGCCTGTTTTTCATATGTGACCCACACTATGCTGTGCAAAGCATTGTGTCCTTCAAGCCAACAGGCACTGCCAACACTCAAACTTCATTATCTAAAAATACAATTGCTGTAAATTTCCACGTTCTACTTTTCCCCATTCTCTCTGTAAGGAAGAGCAAGCTTAGACAAAGGAGCAGGGTTCTCATGTATATAATAGGAGCATACTTGGAAAGAGTATGAAGATCTGAATTTGTTGTTCTTTGACCCTTTGTTACAACACAAATACTGCAGAGGGAAATCTACTTTCAAGGACAGCTACTTGTCATTGGCTCAGAGTAAAAGTCCTTGTGGGGAGGGAGGAGGAATAAAATACATATCACCCTTTATTCTTTTACATGCTTTATACACGCAACAGCCTATTTATACATGAAACGATATTGATCCAGTTTGCGGTATTCAGCATAAATTTCTGAAGAGCACTGACATGACAATATGTTTCATCAAACATTAACCCTACAATTCTGTCTGAATTGGTGCAATCCTATCTGAATTAGTGACTAATCACTCTAAAATAAATGGCATTCTTCCCTTTCACGGAATTATAATATATATCTACCCGTATCTTGCGGCTTCATGATACTGGGTAATTTTTTTCAATGTTCAAATGATTAGCGGAAACACAGAATATTGAATATTTAAAAGTAAAAAGCATGAGAAAATTAAGTCTTCAGAGCAGCTTTGAAAGATTCAGAAAAGGACCATTAAATGATGCCTATTTGTAATTATTTAATTTAAATATATTTCAGTATTATCAGTGGATATAGAATGGTCACCTGTAGCAAGATGATAATACTTTAAATTCTTATGTTTCTACAAGAAACTATTTTGCAAATTTTTATTTCTATTATCCTCATTCATAATGGTTCTGTAAACTGATTGAACTCTACCTCATGTGAAGATGAGGAAAGAAACTGAACACAAGCTAGTCTAATATAAACTATTATACATTTTCATGAGGATACAGTGGCCTTAGTGAATGTCATGATTCATTAGTTAGAAGTTGAGAATTTTGCCTGCGCAACTGAAAAATCAATGCAAAAACACAAAGTGATTCTTTAGAAAAGGAGTTCAATACTCTAAAATTTTAAGGACTTTTCAAATATGTCTGCAACCAGATAGCACTTGACCTGTGTTTACAAAAGGAGTTATCCATCTTATATTGCTGCAGAGCAGAATATCATTGGTTTATATTGCTTTATAATTCAGGTTATAAATTGCTTAGAATGTATAAAGGCACTTTAAATTTATAGTGTAATGTGAACAAGAAGAAACATTTCATCATGTTTGTAAGATGTGCAAAAAATGCTTGAAATTTCTGGATTCAAATGCATTCACTGATTCAGAGGATTTTAAAGATTAATATACAATTGAGAGCAGTAGTAGTTCTTTTGGGATCAATGCATAAACAGTTGGGGGAAAAAAGTTATGGAACTTTATTCCCATACATAATAACTGCAGTGAGATTATTGTATGCATAAAGATGGAAAGATTCAGCACTACCCACAATGGAGGAATAGTTGGTGAAGTTGATGGCACTTTCTTTTTTTTTTTTTTTTTTAATATACTTTATTGAGTTTTTTAAAAATGGCACTTTCTGATTGATTGAATTCTTTGATCAGAGAAAAGACAATATTTATGTTAATGGTGATTGCAAATCCCAAATCCCACTTTTTGCATGAAACAAAAAATATAATTCACTTATGATTTATGGTTTTGATAATTAGACAGGATAAATTATAGAAAGAGGTTATGTTGTGACCACCACAGAGTAAGAGATATAGCTATAATTGTACTTATAACTGCTGTAAAATAAATCAAAAGTAATGCTTTGTATCTGTTTTCTTTTCTCATTTTCTTTTATTTTTTCCCATTCTTGCACATTTAGCATTTTTTTTCTATTTCTAACTTTGTATGAGTTTATATTCATTTTAATCTTTCTTTTTAAGAAAAATATTTAATAAAATAAAACTTGTTTCCCAGAATTACTACTGCAGCAATGCAAACACGAAACATTTTGCATCCAACCTGATTACATAAGATCAGATTTGAAGAATTCAAATATCTGGTTGAACAACTATTTTATTTTGGTATAAACCAGTACCATGGACTACTATGACTGAGCATAATGTACCTGCCAATTTCAATAGCGTCCGCAGTTTAATTTGGGAACATTTAACTTCTACAAGTCAAAGCCAAATCAACAGATTACTCTCTTCTACTTACCTCCACCATATGTAGCAGCCAACATAATTGAAGAAACCCATGCAATCTCACTGTATGATGTACCAAAGAAATCCTGGATTTCTTTGAAGAAGATTGCTATTCCTTTCGGGAAAGCATATGAAAATCCAATGGAAATGAACGCTCCAAAGACCACTGCCCATCCCCATTGGCCATCTGGAGGGGTATAGGCCAAACCAGTGTCTGCTGGAGGTGGCATGGCAAGACTAAATTAAGTTCCTGTAAGCACTTTTCTGGAAACCCTGAAAAACAAAGTGCACACCCATAATAAGCTAATGACACATTTTCATAATTAGCTTGTTACTTTGGCATAATGTTTTCTTCGCTCTCTATGTACTGTATTTCTGAATTGTGGCAGCTCCTTTAATACACAAAACAATTGCTAGAGATACCTAGAAACCCTATTTTCCAGAAAACATTTACTCTGCAGCATGAATTTGACGAGAGGTATTGATGGATTGCTTCTTCCCTTCAGCTAGCTTCATGTAGCTTTTGGGATTCTCAAAATCTTAAAAAATAATCTCCAAGAACGTGAAGTGATTTATCTGTGGACTTCATCTCATGTTTTTAATGCAATACTATATCTCTATTTACATCCCATATAATATCCCAAATGACTATATTGTAGTCATAATAACAGATTGATTAGAACACCTTCTTCTGACACAAAACACTGATTTTTTTTTCTCATGGTGCCTTTAAGTCAGCACTGATCCCAGGTGATTCTCTGGACAAGTTTATTAAGTTTTCTTGCTATGGTTTTTCAGAAAACTTGACTTGCCATTTCTTCCTCCTTAAGGCTAAGAGTGATTGGCCCCAGATCATCCATATGGTTTTAGGCCTAAAGTTGAACTACAACTCCCAGTCTCCAGGTTTCTAACCCAATGCCTTACTCACTCTGATTTTTAGAGTGCATGAATCCTGCATGACAAGTCTGAAACTTGTCATATGAGTAAGTGCCAGGGATTTAAAACATAATCAGAACTGCATGAAAAATTAACCTATAAGACTAATTTTAACATCAGGTGCCCATATAATAATACAATAAAAAGTAAGTGGCACAGAAATTATTCATCGGGCAAACAAATTAATCATTAGCTTTTAAAATAAATTGAAATGCCTGGACAAAAAGGAACAAGAAGGCAAGTTATTAGCAGCGGTAATAACTCCCATAGGATGACAACATTTGAAAAATATTTGTATTAAGAAACAAATGATGAGTAATAAATTGTTGTGCTGCTTCCTAACCATTAATGCTCTGATATTAACCATGCACTTGGTTAAACTGTAAAATATAGAAAATTTGGGAATAATTATTTTTCCAATTAACCCTTCCACAGAAAATCTATCGATGTAACAAAAATGCCATCCATATCAAGGAGACCTTCAGAACAGGGACAGGCAAAAACCTCTTTGGCTATGCGTGCTACTCCAAGCTCGCTAAGGTGCTCCAGATAATTCAGTTTAATTTCCAGAGGTGGACTACATTTTTTTCATCTCTGCCAAAAAGAAGACTCGTTGACAATTCAATCTTCATGAGGGAGTAGCCTGAAAACAAGAACCAATTTAATAAGATCCCTCTCCTCCCAATTCAATACCATCTCACACAGTCTCAAATATTACTTCTATACTGTGTCCTGAAGAATATATCCAGCTGATGACAGGCTTATAATAAGTTAAGACATTGTCATGGTTGTCACTGTGGCCTGAAATCTCAGTTGGCGGCAGCATGGGAAATGAAATATTTTGGGATAAATGCCTTGTGGTTTGTTTGTTTTTAGCTCTGTCACATAGATTAATATGTGGGTTTGCGGGATGATTTTCCACTTTGTTTCTTTGTGTTGGTACCTAATTAAAAAAAATCAAATATTCATTCGCCATTGGAAAGCTACATAGATTTCTTATTGATGGGGAAGATTTCTTATTGATGGCCCTCTTTTTGTATTGGGCTGCATACTTATGCAGACAAAATTAACAGAGATTTATTCTATCCACATAATTGCAGCAATTAAACTTGCTAGGTGTTTCTCCTGTAAGTCCATAGTTTTCCATCTTGCCCTATGGAATGATGGAAAACATCATCTGACCTCTTTTTTAATTTTTTTAAAAATATACATCAATATCAATACATGAACATTGGGGCATCTGGGTATCATTCATTTGAATACAAGTAGTAATGATAGTATTAATATTATTTGTTATTTAAATCATACTTACATAATTATAATAATATTGTTATACATACCCTGTTTCCCCCCAAATAAGACATTCCTTGATAATAAGCCCAATCGGGCATTTGAGCGCATGGCAATAAGGCCAAGCGCTTATTTCAGGGTTCAAAAAAATATAAGACAGGGTCTTATTTTCGGGAAAACACGGTATTTGTATTAAAATATGAGCCTTTGTTATTTAATTGTTCAACATTTTATCTGACCCCTGATGTAACAACTTTTAGGTATTTGGAGAGTGACTATTCCTGTCATCTCAATTTCTTCAATTTCTCTTCATGGGCCTTAGTTTCTAAACCTCTAATTCTCCTTTCTACTCTTCCCCAGGTTTCTTTCGGTGTGCCTTACCTCTCAGGATATTAGTTATCTCCCCCAGGTTTGTGTAATCTGGAAATTTAATAAACACTTGTTCTACCTTATTCAAGCATTAACAAAATGTTAAAGAGTATGGGGCTAAATACTCCACTTGATACTTCTTTAGGGTTTGGCAAGTATTTTTTAAATAGAATTTTTAATCCAGTTATGCATCCACTTTATTATCATGCTATCCAGCTCACAAGAATATATTTTTCTTCCATTGAACAACCCCAGTTTGCTCTACATGTTTTCTTGCTTTTATCTTGTTATATCTAACCATCTTATTTAACTGGGTTATCCAGGCTTCATCTTCAAACATTTCTAGCTTTGACCATTGAAATAGGATCCTCTATTCTATTTTTTCTCTCATTTGTAATAAACAAAAGGACTGCTTAAATAAGTGCAGGAAAAAACACCCCAAATATATGAAAAAGCAGATAAACAAAACTATGGTATGATTAAAAAAAATTTTAATTGTTAAGTTTAATGGAAAAAATAATTGATATTATTTGCATGTTTAAATAATCTATGTTTAAAAATTGGGCTGAGTGACTCTTGGTTTAATATTTTGATTCTTTTTTATTGACAACTTATTTGAACCCAAGAGATGCAAAGAATTATCCATTCACATATGATTTTGCTCAAGCACTAAGGACTGTCATGAAAAAAAGTCTCTCTCTAGATGTCTATGGAGATTCTCAGTCATGCAGGTCATGGTTGTCCCAAAGGTATTTTTCAAAAGGCAACTGGACCTTCTTTGTTTTTTGAAGACGTTCTGCTCCTGATCTAAAAACTGAAGAAGCTTCTTGGATGAGAAGCAAAACGTCTTCAAGGAAAAAATGAAAGTCCAATTGCCTTTTGAAAAACTCCTTTGGGACTCTCTCTGGATTCCTCATTGGGTAGTAACTGGAGGCCGCACCTTGTTAATAGTCTACTTCGATCTACTTGTCCTTATTTATTTATTGGATACAACATTGCCAACTTCATTTAGATTCATGAAATCTTACAAAAATCAGGACATGCTGTGATGATTATTCAAAGCAATAAAACATCATGGTAAGCACAAAGAATAAAATAATATCTACAAAGAACTGTAATCAACATAACAAAGAACTGTACAAATAATTAGACTCAGTAATTAAACAATCTTAACTAAATTACACAAGAGAACAATTTATCAACTGTAATAATAGGCAATATTCAGCCTTCAAAGTTCTTCAGAATAATTCAGTCTTTAGTGTTTTCTGGAAGGGAATCATAGGGGCACAAGTCTAACATTTATAACAAGGCTGTTCCATAAAGCAGGAGCAAAAACCAAAATGCATCTTCTCCTGCTTTAGTTTCTACACACAAGTATCTTCTAGAGCCGTCGTGGCACAGTGGTTAGAATGCAGTATTGCAGGCTAATTCTGCTGACTGCCAGGATTCAATTCTCACTAGCTCAAGGTTGACTCAGCCATCCATCCTTCCAAAATCAATAAAATGAGGACCCAGATTGTTTGGGGACAATATGCTGACTCTATAAACTGCTTAGAAAGAGCTGTAAAAGCACTGTGAAGTGGTATATAAGTCTAAGTGCTATTGCTATTCTAGTAATGTGGAAACCCATACCACCTTCTTCAGCGATGACCGCTGATGTTTAAAGAAGACAGCTGTAAAATTATTTGAAAGGGTATAGAATTTTTATTTATCTATTAAATTTATTTACTGCCCATCTTAACATAAGGAGATTTTTTTATAGGTCTTACCTATTTCACCACCACCACCACTCTTTTTTTTTTGGTACTTGTTTTATTTTCTTGAAGTACTAGATTAAAAATGATGATCGCCTTACAAAAATATTGTACAAATTAAGTTTTCCTGCTTTTAAAAACTTGGTTAAGAGGATAGGCATACACTTCTAATTACCTTGATGAAAAAATGATGACACCAGAACTCAAAAACTCAAAAATCACAAGTTTTGCACCACAATGACATGATATACTTCCATCAATTGTCCCCCTGCCCCCAGTTTGGATGCTAAACTTCCACTATATTTTGAGGTCACTTTAGTTGGATGTTTGGGGCTTTTTTAATGCAACAATTCATTTCAAAGGATGTGGCTAGGGGGTTTGAAACATGCTCTTTCTAATGAGAATGATTTAACAATTTCCAGAAGGTCTTTTTTTGTAAAAGTGGGCTAAAAATACCCTAATTTTGTCGTGTTTACAAAAAATGTCAACTTTACACACAATTTGTAAACTATTGGAAAGCAGTAGGATGAAATTTTATATTCGAAAACCTTGTGTTACTAAGTTATTACACACAGTTTCACTTTCTCATACCTTTCCTTCCAGAGATATAAAAAGCCAAACTTTAACCTTTTTTTTTTTTGAGCCGCAATATTTTCGGCCAACTTTGCTCCAAATTATCTAGATGGAGATCACACATGAGAATGTTTTTATTATTTTGTTTCATAGAGCACAAAAAGTTGTACAAGATGGCCAGGTTTTGTTTCTCTCAACAAAATATTGCCGGAGATATTACATCTCAAAGTTGCTGGAACCTGAGAGTCATACTGTAGAAGGCTGGGGTATGGGGTCACACAAATGACTATATCTCTGCAAGTATTGCATCTGCACACATAAGACTTTACCAATGTTCATTGGGGACATGTGTGCATGTTCACACAAAATTTCATCGAAATCCGTCATGGTCGAGCAGGGCACTTTTTTGAAATCATACCACTTGACATGGAATGACCCAAATGCTATTAATTAACTTCAGAATCAATTATTACTTAAGACCCAAAGGCCATGTTAAAACTAGTTCTGAGCCTCTAGGCAACTGCTCCTGAACAAAGAGAACTGACCAAAGATGCAAATCAAGCCGAAACCTGCCGCAATCAATTGGTGCTTTTCCCAAGAGCTGCTTCTATTGTTTCTTCCTTCATACTCGTATCTAAACATCGGTGCAAATTTCACCAAAGGAAAATGAAACATGAGCTGAATATCATTGTAAATATTCATGTTTAAAGAACTGTTTGGCAAATATAAAAAAGACCTGATTTTCCTGCAGTTACCTTGCATGTTATTTATGTTATTTAAATATAAATAACTGGATAGTAAGACACAACAGCGAGTGGCTGATCACAACACAAAATTAATCAAAGTAGGGCCTGCATACTTCTTGGATGGGAGACCACCAAGAAAAGCCTTGTGGGGCAGAATGGGAAGTTGAAAAAAGCATCCTAGAGGAAGGCAATAGCTGACTACATCCATAGACAGTTAAAACTATTTGGCTAGTCTACCAGATTCTAGCTTTACTTTCTAAAATTGAAATCAATAGGTCATAATCCTCAAATAATAAGATATTTTGTACTTCCAGAGCTGACACTCTTTTGGAGGAACACCTACACAAAAATGCACAGAGTCACAAGCTGCCTTTCTTTACATACAATGTGGTTTTATACCAAAACAGGTTGCAGTTTCGGCTTACACACACTACACTGCTGTATAGAAGCATATCATCTGTTGCCTGTATTTGGAAACTAGTACACACAGGTAGATTTAAGCAGGTAAAACAAGACAGCAGCTTATGCCTCTCAGCGATGCTGCTTCTACCATGCAGCCCAAAAGCCAACACATCCTTCTCTTTCCCAGACTGAAATACTCCTTGCCCAAGTGTCAAGAAAAAGAAACACCACACCAGCATCGCTGAAAGGCATAAACTATTATTTGTTTTTTTTTAATCCTGCCTTCATTATTTTTATAAGCAACTTGGGGCAGCAAGCATATCTAATACTCCTTCCTCTTCTTATTTTCCCCCACGACAACCCTGTGAGATACGCTGTGAGAAAAAGCTACTGGCTCACAGACACTCAGCTGACTTTACAATTATAGAATAACAGAGTTGGAAGGGACCTTGGAGGTCTTCTAGTCCAACGCCCTGCTTAGGCAGGAAGTCCTACACCACTTCAGACAAATAGTTATCCAATCTCTTCTTAAAAACTTCCAGTGTTGGAGCATTCACAACTTCTAGAGGCAAGTTGTTCCACTGATTAATTGTTCTGTTAGGAAATTTCTCCTTAGTTCTAGGTTGCTTTCCTCCTTGATTAGTTTCCTCCATTGCTTCTTATCCTTCCCTCAGGTGCTTTGGAGAATAGCTTGACTCCTTCTTTCTTCTTCTCTTTCATGCCTAAAGCAGGATTAGAACTCGCTGTCCCCTAATTTATAGCCTGGTGCCTTAACCACTACTAGACCGAACATCCCTCAGCGTGATGGGCACATGCAACTCTGTAGCAGATGGCGCCGTCAGAGGCTGAATCGTAGCCTCTGTAATGCCCTAGCCATGGTAACAGACCACGCTGACGACGAAACATTTTCCCCTAGTTTCTCGGGACACACCGAGTATACATTTGTAAGCGCGCGCTCTTGCACACCCACAGGACACGCTGGCAGATGACGCGCGCCCACCAGTCCCGGCCCCTCCGAGCTCCACGCGTGTGTTAAAAAGCGCTCTAGCCGCCTGTGGAAAGGCTTTCCTCCACTTTCCCTTGACTTCGAAACCGCGGGGAAAGTTGAGCGACTTTGGCGCGCTTTTAGCCCTCCCCACCTCCCGCAGCTTCTGCTTTGGAGCCGGCGGGCGAGCGGGCGCTCTTACCTTTTGCTTCAGGCCAGGCAAGAAGTCTTGCCTGAGAGCGCTGGGGACACGAGGCGCTCGGGGGTGAGGGGCGGAGACCTGGATAGGCGGGGTTTTAGGCGGGGAGGGCAGGGAATATCCCCCCCCCGCCTTCGGCCCTACATCTGACGCAAGAAGGGCGAGCTCCTCGCGGTCTTTCGCCTCTTTGGGGGGGAGAAACCTTGCCCCGGTCAGCGCGCGCGCCCTGCCTGCAAGCCTTTAAATGGGTGCGCTCTGCCTCACGCTGCCCCGGGGCTGGGAAAGTCTGGTTGTGCTTTCGAGGACTTCGTTGAAGGCAAAGGCAAAGCACCAGCAGGGACCCCCAGAAATTAAGGCGAAGAGCGCCTCTATGGAGATTTTCAATCATTCAGATCATGGTGGTCCCATAAGTGCTTTTTCCAAAAGGCAATTGGACTTTCTTGGGGGGGTTTGTTTGTTTGTTTGTAAGCGTTTCGCTTCTTATCCAAGAAGCTTCCTCAGTTCAGAACTTCTTGGATGAGAAGCGAGACATTTTCAAAGAAGAAAAACAAAGAGAGTCCAGTTTTTTGGGGAAAAAAGCACCTTTGAGATCACTATGACCTGTCCTGGATGATTGGAAATCTCCATAGAGAGGCTCTTCACTTTAGTTTCTGGGAGTCCCCTGCTGGTGCTTTGCCTTTGCCTTCAGTGAAGTCTTGCTGCCTGCTGTACTTTCTATACCAAAAAGTGTTCAAAAAGTGGGGAAGGAAAGTTGGAAGGAAAATTCAAACTTCTCGATTGCTTCAAAATATTTTGGGATTATTTAAAATCACAGAAGTTACATATAGAAGGTAGGCTACCAGTAAGGATTACTGGTTAGGAAAGTTATTGTTACAATAAGAACTCATGTCATTGGTTCAGTAAAAAAAAATATCAAAGAAAATCTTTAGAGAGAAAAAAAATCCTTCAAAAAAAAAGAAAAATGGAAACGTTGGCCAAATGAGAAATACAAAAAGGAACATAAAAGTTCATAATGGAAGGAAATGCTGAACCAGGCAACAAATTCAGGGGCAAATTCTATGATTCTCTGAAGAATGCGAAACAGAACTTTAAGAAAAATGTTATTAAGGCAAACATTACAAAATTATTTCAGGAAGGAATTCTAAAGAACTTAGTACGGTATCTTTAGGATCTCACTGCATCACTAGGCAAGCTTGATCTTTTGGATTCGTGCCTGTAATGTCACAACGCACACCAAAAAGTACTGGGCCTTGCATTGCAACATTGCTTCCATCAACTGGACCTTGCTTGCCTCATTCCACATACATATGGTATGGTGTTGAACTTAGATAAATCTGTTGTATCAACAAATGAAGCCACTCTGCAATTCTTGCATTACGCAAGAGATTGGATTAAAAGATTTTCATTTTCCATTTACTTTCCAGTCCTTTGACTCTTAGATTTTACTGGCAAACAGAAAACAAATCACTGTGTTCAGCTGATAGCTGTCAAACTCTTAAAGAATTTATCATGCGAAAATTGCTCCTGCCCACCCCCATGTAATTGTAAGCCTCAATACAAGATGACAGAAAATGTGCTTTATAATGATAATTTTTAAGCAATGATTGGATGGCAGGAAGATCTAGTAAATTACACATCACTTGGCATAATATTTATTCCAGGCAAATTGATACAAAATACCATTGTTGTGTTTCTTTGAAGCAGATATGACTATTATAAATGTTCAATTCGTGAAAATGCCTCTCTCTGAATTATCTGCTTCTGTGTTTCCGTTTTTCCCCCACCTTTGCTCCAGTTTTCTAACCTGTGGATTGTAAGAATAAACAAAGACTATTGAGAAAGCTCAAGCTTTGGTTTATCATTGAATTGAGTGAGGTTTACCTTTCTTACTAGTTAGATGAAGGGTCATACAACAAAAACTTTTTACAGATAAAATGATTAAGCATTTAAAAGGCTTTATGAAAGAAGATAAATCCTGTCTCATTAAGTACCAAGCATGTCAACAAATATGTAGATAGCGGTGGAGTGGAAGAAATTATTCATTTAATTTTCCAAAAAGATTTTGACAAAATCAGATTCAGCAATTAGAATAATAGAGGAGAGGTCCTGTTATGGATCACTGTTCTCTAAAGCTCGTCTGTTGCAATATTTTCAGGATCAGACTCAATAAAGATAATAGGAGTTAAAGCTTTAAATATATTTCTTTTAATTATGATAGGCATTCTATATTCACTGAATATTCAAGGTAGAAGCGACGAGAATGGTGAGGGTGGCTCCTTATATATACAAGGGGTGGAGCTAGGAATGGGAGTGGTAAGTTATGAATACATTAAAGTCCAAAGAATAAGTTAACCTCTGATGTTCCATATATACATTATTTACACATTGGAGAATAAGGCATTTACATCTGACATCGTCAGTAGCAGCCTTTGGCCTTCCATTATAAGGAAATCTTCCTAGGGTAGCGCAACATATATGCACTCATAAGCCTTCACATCCAAAAATGGCATTGTCCTTTATTCCTTGCAATTGGGTGGGCATGATGCAGAGGTGGGTTTCAGCAGGTTCTGACCAGTTTTGGAGAACCGGTAGTGGAAATTTTGAGTAGTTTGGAGAACCGGTAGTAAAAATTCTGCCTGGCCCTGCCCCCGCCCCCATCTATTCTCTGCCTCCCAAGTCCCAGCTGATCGGAAGGAAATGGGGATTTTGCAGTAACCTTCCCCTGCCATGCCCACCAAGCCACGCCAATCAAGCCATGCCACGCCCACCAAGCCACACCCACAGAACCGGTAGTAAAAAATTTTGAAACCCACCACTGGCGTGATGGCACAGTGGTTAAAGACGCTGAGCTTGTCAGTTGGAAAGCTGACCGCCCAGATTTGAGAGCAGAGTGTGAAGGGGTGAGCACCTGTTATTTGCCCCAGGTCCTGCTCACCTAGTAGCTCCAAAGCATTGCAAATGCAAGTAGATTAATAGGTACCACTTTCAGTGGGAAGATCATTGCTTTCCATGCATCTTTGGTATATAGCCATGCTGGCCACATGACCACAGAAATTGTCTTTGGACAACACTAGCTCCCTCAGCCAAGAAATGGAGATGAACACCTTGCCCTACAGTCAGACAACTACAACTACTGTAGACAGGGAAACCTTTGCCTTTTATTCCTTGCAATTATTGTTAACAAACCAAGAAAAAATAACATTCTGGTCCATCCAGGAATAATCCAATTGGTTGGCATGAAATTTACTTAGGCAAGCCAACAGCTCAAAGCACTTTCTGCTTTGTGCCTTTGTAGGACTGGTATAGCTAGTCTTAGCCAGCATAAACCCATTATGTAAAAAAAAAAAAATCTTCATTTTGCTTTTAGGTGCTTAAGTTAACTTTCCCTTTCCTGTTGCAGATAAATGAGCTAAAAGGTTTTGCATACTTAATTATCAGCCTTATTAAGTAGGAAATGAAAGGGCATTTTAGTAATGAATTGACCCGGGAGAACCATTCTCTGCAGGGCTGAGAATCCTTTGTTGCTTGTTGCCTGTTGCTTGCTAATGATCGTGTGCCTTTGTTTTCCAAAAGTGAATTAAAACTATGCCAATTTGTGTACAGATAATGTTTGAATTACAACCGTTTGCTTAATGACCATTTTTCATACTTATGACCAATGCAGCATCCCCACGGCATTATGAGCAAAATCCAGACACTTGGCAACTGGCATGTACTTATGACAGTTGCAATGTCCTGGATCATGTGATCACCGTCTGTGACCTTCTGACAAGCAAAGTAAATAGGGAAGCTAGATTCACTTAACAACTGCAGTGATTAACAGCTGTGGCCATAAAGGTCCTAAATGGGACAGAATTTCCTTAACAACTGTCTTTTTAGTAACAGAAATTTTGGGCTCAATTGTGGTCATAAGTTGAGGACTATCTGTATTGGGGTCTCTTGATTTGTAATGTAGTCCTGAGAGTACACCTGATCCCGCTGTGCAGAATAAACAGGTTGCAATTTCCCGTCTTGTGTGAGAATTGGCTTCTTTGCAGCAGGGAAAATTTGGCCTTGGCTGGGCCAATTCATGGTCTGGCACCTTATCTACTTGCGGAAAAGTGAATTCACCACTTTTTCTTCTTGGGATCCAGAGTTTTGATGGTACCAGAGTAGGATTAAAACAGCCCCACCATCTCCTTAACTGGAGAGTTTGTTTTATAAAAAGGGAATTGAAAGCAAGCAGGTGCCAAGAAAAGAGTTAAGCTGGAAGACGGAAGATAGAGAGCTTAATTTTGTACAGAAAAACAGCTTTGCTTGTGGGGGTGGGGGGGGAACAGATACAGGTTCTGCATTTGTGTTCTATACCCTATCAAGAAAAACATGTCAAAATAAATATGCTAGCCAAGATCCAAAGCATTTGGGATACATGGTAATCCTATCTGATGTTTCCCTCTACGACAGGGACATCAAACTCAAGGCCCATGGGCTGGATGAGGTCTGTGGGGTGCTTAAATCTGGCCCATGGGGCTGGCCTTGAAATAACAAAGGACCGGCCCGCTGTGCCTCTGGCAGCCAAAATGGGGTGCATGTGGTCATATGCAGCCCCCCTACACCCCATTTTCAGCCTGGACGGCCTCCTCCGCTGTGTGCGGCCTCCCCCACCTGTTTTGGTCGGCAGGGTACTGCAGGAGGCATCAGTCCCATCTCTCCCCCCTGGACAGCCCATATAGGAGAACTACAATGCTGATGTTGTGACTCCGACCCCTGAGCCCCGAAGCTGATCTGGCCCTCGAAGAAATCCAGTTTGACACTCCTGCTTTATGAGGTACCTCAAGCATCTACGGGGTTTAGCCCGCTTGATTTGTTATACGTCAGACAACCTAGAGGGATATTGGATAAACAGTAATTAAGAAAGGTGGCATAAAAAGCTCAAAGAACGTTTTGGAATATATTCAGTGAACATTAATAAAACAGTACAGAAATACATTTGATAGCTGGTACGTTTTCCTGTCAGGATACGCATCCAAAATAATCAGTACTGTCTTGTTGGAAATTATATGTGCTGTTTATTATTTTTATTTATTTATTTATTTGTTAAATTTATATG